GACACCACCATTTGGATGAAACGGCAGCCTACAGAATGGAAAAGATTTCTATCAACTACACTTAGGATAGAGGGCTATCCTATATGTAAGGATCTAAACATATATAAAGATCTAAAAATGGGCATCAAGAAAACAAATAACCCAATTAAAAATGGGGTACAGACCTAAACCGAGAGTTCTAAAAAGGTGAAATGTAAATAGCTGAGAAACACTTAATGGTCAACATCCTTAATACAAATCAAAACTACTTTGAGATTTTTACCTTACACCAGTCAGAATGGCCATGGTCAATATGGCTTCTCATGCTGGTGAGGGTGCAGAGTAAGGGGTACAGTCATCTACTACTGGTGGGAGTGAAAACTTATACAGCCACTATAGAAATCAGTGTGGCAGTTCCTCAGAAAGCTGCAAATAGATCTACTTCAAGATTCAGCATATATATATATATATATATATATATATGCATTTACCCTGAAGATTCTACATCCTACCACAGAGACACTTGCTTGCCCATGTTCATTGCGACTCTATTCATAATAGCCAGAAATTGGAAACAGCCTAGACTCCTGTCAATGGATGACTGTATTTTTTTTTAATGTGGTACATTTATACAGAATATCTACACAGAAGAGAATATTACTTGGCCACTGACAGGAAAGAAGGAAGAAAGGAAAGAAGGAAGAAAAGAAGGAAGGAAAGAGGGAAGGATGAATGAATGAATGAATGAATGAATGAAATTCTCAGGCAAATAGAGCTAGAAAAATTCCTTAGTGAGGCAACCAGACCCAAAAAAGGCAAATATAGTATTGCCTTAGTCAGTGTTCTATTGTTGTGAAGAGACACCATGACCACAATAACACTTATGAAGGAAAACATTGAATTGGGAATTGCTTACAGTTTCAGAGGCTTAGTTTATTATCAAATAGTGGAAGCATGGCAGCGTGCAGGCAGACATGATGCAGGAGAAGGAGCTGAGACTTCTACATCTGAATCCACAAGCAGAAGAAAGAAAGAGACACTGGCCTGGCTTGGGTCATTGAAACCTCAAAGCCCGTCCCCAGTGACACACTTCCCCCAATAAGACTACCCCAGCCCAATAAGGCCACACCGCCTAATCCCTCCCAAGTAGTGTCACTCCCTAATGACTGAGCATTCAAACATATGAACCTGTTGGGGCCATTCCTATTCACATCAACACACACACACACACACACACACACACACACACACACACACACACACTCACACACAGGAGACTGGAATGGGAGAAGCAAACTGGAAGGGGAGGAAAGACGAGAGTAGGGAGGGAATACAAAGTGAGACAATGAAAACTAAGGGCTATCCAAAGAGCCAACTGGAAACCTATATATATATATACATATATGAAATAAATCTAAATAGAAACACCAAATAGGGGAAATGGAGCCCCAACTGGACATCTCTCACCACCAGATGAAGCTTCTAGTACTGGGAATGTGCTACATCTAATCAAGTTGTTGGTCAAAGAGGGCCCATGGAAACCCCAAACAACCCAGGCTATTGCCAAGGCTCTTGGTTGCTCTTCACAAACTGAGGGTAAGGCTCTGTTGCTGAAGACAACACCTATTGAACGTGGAGAAGTCAAGCTGCTGACTACCTACAGCCTTGACCCCTACAGACTAGCATTCATGGTACTGGAAGATGCTCTTCATACTGCGAGAGGAGAAAGGTAAAAACCAAACAACCAAACCAGAAACCCTGCAATCTATAAATGATGCTCTGTCTGCAAGATGTGCTATTGCAATAGCCGTACCCGGACACATGTGCATATGAGCAGTGCTAAATGCACTCAGTAGGTGTACATACATGTGTGTATGTGTGTGTATGACGACAGTAATTAGAGATCATGGATTCAGGAGAGGGGAACGTGGGGGCAGGAAGGAGTAGGCATGATATGTATGGTGCTCATGTATGAAGTTCTTAAATTTTTTAAATAAAATTTAAAGAACATATATGAATCAACTTTTGGCAAATCATTTTATGTGTACCAGGAGCCATTCATGTGGAAGTGGTAAGCTTTGCTGTGTGGTTTCTGAATTCAGAATTTTCCATATTATGTTTTTAAGGTAGACTCTTCAGGGGGTGAGGGAAAACTAAGCTCTTGTGATTAGACATCCTATGTGAAAGCCTGTCCCTGGGGAAAACCAATTCTCCCTCTCCCGGTAGGCACTAGGGACTTGTGGCTCTTCATCTACGGGTGGTCCTTGTTTCACTTTTTAAGAACATACCTCTTAAGTAGCATCACGCACTACTGCCTCTGTCCAGCACAGTTGACTCCTGGAAAGTTAAGAGATTCAGGCATTTTGGTGAATGCATGCCACTAGATGGCGAGTCAAGCTAACTCAGCATCCCTTGGCTGGACTTGCCAGCTCCTCTACTCCTGCCATGTTGGGTGAGTCATCTAAGGCCACCTAAAAGGCATTCAGGAAATCCTCAAAACCAAATCAGCAAAGAATGGAACTTTCACCTACATGGTATGATAAGAACTAGAGTGTCTCTGCCAGGAGAAATGCTTCTGCCAAGAGAATCTGAAATCAGCCTATTTCTTATTTCTTTGAATTAAAAGTATATAAAAAGTGAAGGACGATCAGTATATGATAGGTCAAACCTTTCCTTGCTTTGTTGTTGTTTCTGAGATAAGGTTTCTCTGTGTAACAGTTCTGGCTGTCCTGGAACTCAATTTGTAGATCAGGCTGGCTTAGAACTCACAGAGATCCACCTGCTTCTGCCACCCAAGTGCTGGGATTAAAGGCATGTGCCTATTTAAGAAGCCATTCTCTTACAAAGATCCAATTCTGAACTACGTATAAAGTCAAGTTCCCTTATTAGCTTAGCAGGAATATGTATATTTTATTTTTCAGTCTAGCATGTCTTTACTCAGTTGCCCCCTAGTCTTAGGCTTTCTGGTTGCTGTGTATATATAGATTTGAGGCAGCAGGGTACATGAAAAAGTAGGAAAAGTCTTTCTTGACTGATACTGACATATCATGATATTCCACCACACAAGTTCACAAATAAAAAGAAAAAAACACAGGAAATCATGAGCAACAGTCAAAATCAAAACTACAAACATTGTAGGTATTGAAACATGGGCTGTAAAATTTAGATGGATAGTTGCAGAGAAATAAAAGGGAACTGTACATAAGAATAAGAGGTGACACTATCAAAATGACCACATAGATTTGTAAAAAGAGCTAGGTTGAATACCCAGAACTGATAAACCTAATAAATTTGGACTGGAAGCAGCTGATGAGAAAATGAATGAGTTGTAATATAAACATGAAGTAAATTACCCAGAATAGAGAGCAGAAGACAAAGAAAGAGAAAACGCAAGAACTATATTAAGAAATACAGAGAGTAGAACAAAAAGATGTTAACATTTAATTGGGTTTGTCAAAAGAAGAGTTTGAAGATGAAATATTTGAAGTGCTAATAGCTTAAAGTTTTCTATACCTGACGAAAAGCCAACCCACAGACTTGAGAATCTCAAGTCCCAGTCTGAATAAACGAGAAGAAACCCACAGTGATGCATTCATTAAAACCCAAGAACGCTATAGACAAAGGGAAAGTTTAAAAGTGGCCAGAAGCAGGATGTCCAGGAAGAGTCCCAGTGAGGGCCCAGAGTTGATGATGTAACAGAGACTAGGGACCTCAAACCAGACCAGTGACTCACTGTGATGAGCACCCGCATGTAAGGATGTATGGACTAAGGGGTTTACTGCGGGACTCACTATGTCACACTGCAGCTTCATGATGAGATTTTCCCTTTCTTCCACTTACCTGCCTTTTATCTCTTAAATTTTACTTTGCTTTATTTGGGGGGGGGAGGGAGATGGGTGGGATTGGGAGACATGATGCGGAAGACACAAAGAATAAATAAAAAGGAAGTTTAAAAAAAATAGCCGGAAGATCAAGGTAGGTTGCTGACAAAGAACAACTGAGCTGGTGACTGATCTCTCAGAAGCCACCATGGGAGTCAGGAGGAAAAGAAATAATGGCTTCAGTTTAGTGATGGGAAGTAACTTAGGAGTGAGATTCTCTTTCAGGGACAATAACAAAACACTTAGAGATCAACAAAGACTAACAGCATATCCTATCAGGGGACCAGCACCAAAGAAAACTTCCTTCAAAAAGAACACCAGTTCACAAGTAAATCTGCAATGCAGCCAGAGAAGATGTATAGGGGGAAGGGGGAGGGGTGGTTCTAAACATACTTGAGAAATTAAAATATATATATATGGGCTGGAAATATATATATGGGCTGGAAAAATCAAGATGGAGTTAAAACATTAACCAAAGAGCAAGGAAGTCCGGAAGAGGTGTAAGAGCTTAACTGCTTTAGAATCTAATTTTAAATTAAATCTACGTGGAAATATTTTAACAGAATTACTAAAAGAGAGTTTAGCCCAAATGTTTTAAGCAAGGATGGGTTTTCTGGAATCCCTTGACAGAGCTTGGCCATCAAAGGGATTAATAGCTCCCTAAGGTACTTACCCCTGTTTATGCTCACAAAAGGTTTTAATTGCCTTCCCTTAATTATGGTGCTGTGGAATTTCTCAAATCTCATTAGAAACGAAAAATGTCCTCCCACGAACGGCTTCCCTCCCCCCTTCCCCAAATATAAGTTCTACCAGGCAAATGCTCTCTTGAAAATGAGTTAGATATCATCATTGTCCAACCACCAAGCCTACCTTGTGCCCTGAATACTACAGCTGTGAGTGCCAACAGAATTTACCTGGCCCGTAGCTCACTGAAATCTATTAGGACCCACAGTGGCTGGCTGTGTCTGCCTCTACAGCATAGTACTTAGCCCATTCTCTGGAGAGTGTGTACTGTGTTATTATTAGGTTACCAGCACTAAGCACTTGACTTCAAAATTCCATTTCCACACATTGTGCCTTGTACGCTTCTTTATCCTGGAGAGAACATTTACTGTGAGATCACAACAAACCATAATTATGTTAAGTATAACAAAAGTTGATGAAAATGCTTTATTTACTTTAAAACATTACAACTGAATACACTTCGTATGTCTGACACAGGAAAAAATCATGGGCAACAGTGACACAAACACTTCACTTTTCATGTCACAGACGAGGCACAGAAACAACTGGGGAGGTGACTCTCATGAAGTAGGCGTCTTCTCTTCATCTCACTGTCTTAATGTCACATTCTTCATTTCCACAAGGAAATGTCTCACGGAGTAGTGCCTAACACCTTTGTTAATATATGTGGCAGGAGAGAAGCTATGGGCATCTTTCTTAGCCTTCTAGATAAAAGGGATAGGACCACATTTCCCCCTGTCCAGTCAGCCCCATCAAAAATTCTAACAAGACTTTCTAGCTCAACTGCTACAACTTTCTCCTTACCTTCCTTGTCTCCCTCTAGATCTGGATCCTCAATTCCACCTTTTAAAAAAATCTAAAAATATAGTGAAGATGATGGCTCCTGCCCACAATCCTGGAATTCTGAGCCTGGATGAACTTGTAGCTTGGCTTAGGAATTCATCTTTGAGAAGAATCCAGAAAGTTTCGACACATTCTTCAAACCTTCCCCCATCACAGCATGGTGCTCAGCATCAAACTCTCCCAGCAAAGACACCCCCCTCTCAGGGCAGACTTCTAGGAACAGCATGCCGACAGATGAAGCGGCAAATTCCTGTCTTCGTGGCTTCTCCTCACCACTGAGTCCAGGACTCTCCTCACTACATATCTGGTTGTGACGGGAATAAGCCGGAGTCTTGGCCTGTGAGTGCTGCACGGGTTGGAAAGAACCCTAGACAGTCAGAAGGCCATCTAAAGACTCTAAAAGCCTTCAGGCAATAGGCGAGTCACTTGGCATATCCAGCCTGAGCTCCGCATTCTGAACGATGGGAGAACACCTGCCCTGCCTCTATCACAGGGCTTGCTGGGAAGCACAGCTGAATGCTTGTGGAAGTGGCGTGTAAACAGCCGTGTATCACAGAAGTAATGCACATGGCATTAAAAACTGACCGTATCACCCCGAAATGCTAACCGAAGCTGCTTGAAGCAACTCAACTTCTCCCTACTCAGCTTTGATGCCACTGGGGCCTTTGCTTCCATCATCATCCTACGTGACCAGAAGGTAGGGTCCTGGCAGGGAAAATCAGGCACTATTTTGCTTCTAGGACCTTAGAGCTTCCACCTTCTTCGCATCACTTCCAAACTCTCATAAGATTCTGGCAGCAATTAAACCTGATTTTGGAAGGGGTAATGTTGTGTGTTTTATTATTTTTCTCCACCCCACCTTTGATCGTAACATGAAAATTACATTATTAGAGAGGCTGTTAGTTTATATCCTTTAAAAATGATTTACATTTGCCATTTTCCCTGATGGTTCCTTTCTTTCTATTCATGATCTAAGTTTTATTCAGGATGGCACCAAGGGAATAAGAAAATTGCCTGTAATTCCTGTTGTCTGATCTGAGCCTGTCACAACAGATCACTATTCTGGGAGTTGGAACATATCAAGCAGACTCCTGGGGAGGACTTCCAACTCTCTCCCTTAGAATGTTTCCTTTCAGCTGGACTGTGAGTCTCCAGTGTTATGGCCAGGCTGCTGGGTGCCTCATCAGTGTCAGTCCCAAGGGAGTCAGAGAGACTTCACCTTGATATTTGAATAAAATAATCCACAGCCCAAACAATACTTGCAGCCATCAGTTAGAGGTGCACCAGAGGTACAATTCAGGGTAACACTACCCAAAGTTATCTATGAAGTGTACATATTCAGAGTATAAATCTTTACTCCAAATCCACCCCTCCATTCTCCAAGGCACAGCTCAACATTTTTTGACAGTGGCAGTCAAGTCATCCTTGTGTTTTTCACTTATTATTGTTTGGTTCTTTAAGACAGAGTATCATGTAGCCCAGGCTAGCCTTGAACTCACTACATAACCAAGGATGACCTTGAACTTCTAACCTTCTGCCTCTACTTCCCAAATTTTGGGATTACAGGCATGTGTAGGGTGTTGGTATTGAATCAGGGCTTTGTGCATACTAAGCAAGTACTACCAACCAAGTCACATTCCCAACTCTCCAGGCAAATAATTATTTTAGCAAGGATTTTCAAATGCTTTACTTCTTTTCCAAGTGTGTGTTTTGACTGCATGTGTCTGTGCACCACATGTGTGCAGTACCTTCAGAGACCAGAAGAGGGTATCAGAACCCCTAGAACTGGAGCTGGGAGGCACCAGGTGCTGGGAAATGAAACGTGGGTCCTCTGGAAGAATAGCCAGTACTCTTAACCACAGAGCCATCTCCTCAGCCCCCTCTCTTAATTTTTAAGAATGTATTTATTTTTATGTTGTAAGTATTTTGCCTACATGTAAGTGCACCATGTGATTAAAGTGCTCCCAGATGCTCCAAGAGATCATTGGGTCCCCTGGAATTGATTTGGGGTTACAGACAGTTGTGAGCCATCATGAAGGTGCTGGGAACCAAACTCAAGTTGTCTGCTAACTCAAGTAATTCTTATGGCCAGACAATTTTGAGAAACACAGATCCAACAGGAAAAGCCTAAAGACTGGGACTCTAAAAGGTCGGACAGGTTTGTGACTTCATTTACCGGAGTGATGGTTTATCCGTCTATTTAAAAAGGGGTGGGAAGGTGGATGAACTAAAGCAGCATTGGTTACTGCATTCCTCCTGAAAGCTGCTTAAGATCTAACCAGATTTCTATATTTAGTGCCAGCCCCTGCTCACCCTGGTATGCCCAGCCCCACACCAAGTGCAAAGTGGGGGTTCCTAAGAAGTGAGATGAGAAACTGGACCCCAAGCTGTGGATAGATAGGAGGGCCCAGAGGACCGGATGCTGAGCTTCCCCTGGGCTTGCTTGCATCAGTCTCCTAATGAGTCTATACACAGCCTAGGGAAGAACTCTGAGCACAGCAGGATACCTCCCACCACCTGCTTCCACACTCCCTCCTCTGGCCTGTCCCTGACTCAGCTGTGACTCACAGGCAAAGACAGGAGCCCCAGCACCAGCCCTCCAGGCCCCTTGTCACTCATCCCTCTCCATTCTTTTCCACCTCTTCTCAGCTCAGATTTTTTCCAGCCTGACTTTGCAGATCACTGAGCGTGTCCTTAAAAAAACGGGATGGATAGACAAACACAACACTTAAATATCAAAATATTCCCATTTAAGTGTTAAAAAAATTTAAATCTCTGGGTTTATTATAATTTTTCCATAGCACTATTTCCTATCATATGCATAAAATATCCTTATCCTTTCTTGGGCATGTCTTAGCTTCCTTATTAAATTGGGACTTGAGTGGATGGAGATCACATCTTATACCAGACTTGTTTGATGCCCTAGAAAGACAGAAAAGGAACTAGTATGTATAGGCACTTCCTATGCAGGACACACTATTTGGAGAAAAAAACAAAGGGATGTATAAAGAAAAGTCAAGGGCACAGAGGACAGCCAGCTTCGCTTCTCCATTCAGCATTATCTCCTATCCACATACCCAGAAACAACTGCTTTCTCTCTCTACAGAAGGCCTGGAAGCCCAAATGATTCATGCAGACCCACGAAGAGCAATCTGTGCCCCCTCCCCATTCATTTCAAAAGCCTGCTATCATCTTTACATTGATTTTTTTAAAATTGTCGGCCTATAGTCTTGTTGCCTTTGGAACTTTATGTTTCCAATTTTAACAGTATTTTCCTATTGCTCCCCTCAGTCTTCACCAAGCTCATACATGCCCCTGGCTTTACAAAGCAATATATTTGGTCTCTGTAGCCTGTGCTATGGGGCTCTTTGGTGGTAAGAAGCCTGACACAGTGCTCAGTATAACAATAGCTACCACAGCTATCCAATATTCTTCAAGAGTGCCTGAGCAAGTTGAAATCAAAAGCTGGTGATTAAGAAATGATGTTTTGTTGTCATATTGATTTAGAGCCCAAACAGACAGACCAGACCTAAGCTTTCTGAGGCCAGGGACACTAGCAATTCTAAAACTCAGCACCAGAGTTATGGCTTTGTCTTCCAGTCCTTGGAAGTGCCAGCACTGGGCTAAAGTATCTTCCTGTTCCATCTAAGGGCAGGCCAAAGCAACTGTGACATCCTTTAGCAGGACAGTTCTTCTCCAGGCAATGATATTAGCTTATCCCTCCAACCTTTGCCCGGCAGCTTCTTACATCACACACATGGGACATTTTTTGGAAATGTCATGAAGAACAATGAATGCTAGCAGAACAGACTCTGGAATTCCCATCAGGTGGAAATTCTGACCAACCTTCTTCAGAGGCTATACATAGATCAGTAAGTAGAGAATAGATTACCGCTGGATTATAGAATGACAAGCATCATCTTCGTTCAGTCATTTCACCCAATTGTGTCTTGCTACAATAATACAGACTGCAAAGTCTGTCAAAGAAAGTGAAGGCTGCTTGACACCTAAGGTTGGGTGAGTAACTGATTCAGGGTCAAACATTCTGATGAGGTGGGGAGAGGGAGAGAGAGGGAGAGGTTTATCCTTGGTGATAAATAGACACACAGGAGTACCAAACTTCTCTCAAGTGGGAACCCCCAGTTTGGGCTCGGCTCAGCTAGGCAGTTCTTTTGTTGGTTGTGGCTAGATGCTCTTCTGTGTCTGCTGAGTTGGTAAAACCATCACATACAGTGACAGTAGTGACCAGGCTCTTCTCTTGCCATGTAGGATAGATACGGGTACATTTGATAGAGTCTGTGAGCAGCAAGAAAGGACAAAGTCCATGCACAGGAACTTGAAAAGGGAAGAACTTTCGGCCACTTTGGCAGTATACACACATGGCAAAGTCCAGAACCTTCTCAATTTGGGATTTAGGCAAAACCAATTATTTTTGCAAGGGTAGGAAGAGAAAGTGCTTCTTGCCAAAAAAATCAGTGTCTTTCTTGTCTCCAAAGCCTCCACGGTGTCAGACCAGTGAGGCCAAGAGAAGGGGACACCACATCCCTGGTGCCCTGCAGTGGCGTAACCAGGATGGCAGAAATAATCCTTAAATGAGGTACAAATCCAATAAAAAAAAAAAAACCTGAGTGTTTGTGGGGAAAACAACCCACACTCAAGATATAATGGGACTATATATTATTTTCTTCTCAAATTCTTTCCCATTTTTCATCTTGCAACACTGTTGTCTCCTCTTCTCCTTTTTCATGTGTGTGTTTTAAACAACTGTCAAAGGCACCTGATGACAAGCTACTCACACTGCACAGTGGAGTGGAACACCCCAGATGCACCTGCCCCCAAAAAGTTCAGAAGAAGAGAGGAAAAGGGGGGAGAGAGAGAGAGAGAGAGAGAGAGAGAGAGAGAGAGAGAGAGAGAGAGAGACCTTAGGAGTTCAAGGCTTGGATGTTACTGTGTACAACAGAAAGATGAAAAGCAGCCTATGTCTTCCGAATGGAAAAAGAGAGACCACTTAGCGTTTCAAAATGCTAGTCTCTGTTTGTCCCAGCCACTTAAGAATTTTGAGTCAGAGCAGCAAATTGAAGTCATTTCAGTGATTGCCCAGGAGGTCACTACCACTAAGCTCACCAAAGGCCTTCTGATTTTAACATAACAAGACTCATTGACCAATGGCTGGAAGTGATGGGGATAAAAGGTGCATTTTACCTTGAAGTTATCTCTTTTGTGAGCAGAAGGTCTTCTAATGGTGGTAATAAATTCTTCTGCCTCTAAGCACAGAACAGCACTTGTAGAAAAACAGACTGCAAGCTTAGGTAATTTCTAGAGGTCAGGGGTCCAAAGCTACCTGTTTCAAAATTGGACAGAGTCTTGATTCTGCTAAGGAAATGGCGGGGGGGGGGGGGGGGGGAGGATAAACCCTGTGAGTTATTATGTGGTATGTTCTCAAACATCATTGTTTACTTGGTGAGTTTCTCGTTTCTCGAGCTAGATGGGCACTAGGATTTGGAATCAGCCTCCTTAAAGGGTGCCTCCTATCCCTTGCCAAAGCAGAAATCAGCAAATCTTCCAAGTTGGTTGCTGGCCAGAGAAGGTCCTAGGCTTGCTGGCTCTCAGATCTGTGTCTCGTCCCAAAGTCTGCATCTGATTTCTAGTGATCCAGAGATGTGTCTTGAAACAATCAGACCACAAGGGACATCCTGGTGGGAAAGTCATTCTAGGAAAAGCAGAAAGAGCCCCACATTAAAACACCCATAGAGCAACAGACACAATGGATCGCTAACTGGGAGAGTTGGGAACCTGCTCAAATCCAGGCGCACCTTGACTCAGGATTTTGTTAGATGTGTGAGATTGATTATTCCAAAGCCCAGAAAAAGCTAAAGCCAATAACCTCAGATGGAACTTGGTCTCATGACCAATAAATAACTTTCCATTGTCTGAAGAATAATGACAGTTAGAACTCTGCAATACTAAGTGTGGGTGGTGTACCATTAACCTGAAGTCACCTAGGAAGTTTCTTCCTTGCTCATGGTTCCTTGGTTATGGCATCTCTCTAGATCAAGAACAACAAAAGACACTTAGTTGCTTGGCGGTTAATAATAATGCCAAACACCTTTTACTTGTGCATTTTCCTTCTCTCCATATTGCATACTCAAAAAAGACCCCGAGCTGAAGATGCAGCTCAGTGGTAGAGTGCTTGTTTAGAGCGGGCAAGGCCCTGGGTTTGAGCTCCACTGAAAAGGAAGGACGGAAGGTAGGTGGGCAGGCAAGGCAGCCCAGCAGGCAGGTTACCGGATGAACAGAAATTCTTGGACATGGAGATTGATATCCAAAGCACTGTGTGTGTGTGTGTGTGTGTGTGTGTGTGTGTGTGTGTGTGTGTGTGGGTGTGGGTGTGTGTGCTGTGGACACGTGACTGTTCCCCAATGTTTCTGAACTCCACAGCTCACTTTCAGGGGCTGAAGGAAGTGCAGGCTACTCTTGCGTTCACAGAAGATGCTGTAAGGTCTATCTATGTAAGTCCATTTACAGAGAACCGAGTGGAGGAAAGGGCTTCCTTCTGACATGCGAGGCACTTAGGGTACCCAAATACTCAATCAAAAGTCAGGAGGAAGCTGCTAAGGTGTGCGCTTTGCGAGAGAAGAATGCCCGCATAAGCATTCATAGAATATTTTGCATGAGACCACAAAAACCCAGGTAAAAGCCAGCGGGGATGATTTTGAAGGTCTTTCCTACAATAACCTACTCATTATCTACTTTAAAAAACAATAAGTTTTGTTGCTGCTGTTGTCTCTTGAGGGTCCCACCCTTACTTCCTCCACCTGACCCTGGATAGAGTGAAGTTGATGACTTGCTGCCTCTTCTGGGTATCTCCCTCCCTGTACCCCCACAACCCCCACCCAGCTCCGAAGGATTCGGGGTGCATCCTCACGGTTTTCTTGGCGGGCTCCTTTTTCCTTCTCTTTTCCGAGTTGCTGTGGAAGGGCAGGTCGCGGCC